GAAGGAATCGAATTTCGGATTTTAGAGTTACAAGTCCGTAAATCTACCGCTATCTCACTAAGGGGACTTATTTATTAATTAATTTGATAAATGTTAACGTGTTTGTGTCTGTTTCCTTATGTGGACGGGCTTTTGTGTGTGTGTGTGTGTGCGTGTGCGTGTGTGTGTGTAGTAGTAGTAGTAGTAGTGTGTGTGTGTATTTTTCACCCATTGGTTATGAAAAAAGTATATAAATGCGTACATGAGAAAACAATTATTTTTCGAATATACTTAAACGTTGTTAAATCAAATGCTGAATACCACAGCGAAATCACTTTAGGTTTTATTTTTATTTGAAACGTCGACGCTACATGATACAAGTTATTTATACGAAAATATAGATTTATAATAGTAGGTTTGGGGAGGGGAGGGGGGTTCTCTTTTTAAGACTCATAAATTATCACATTTATTTGCGAGTGTTCGGCCCTCTTACCGAAGCCTTCATCGGGCAACAATGTACTGAGCATTACATTGTTGCCCGATGAAGACTGAAAGCTCGCAGATAAAAGTATCTTAACGTAAAGAACAGTTGGAGGCTTGACGGTATTTAAGTAAAATCTACGCTATGGGTAATACTATGCGTGTGTGTGGGAAGGGGGGGGGGTCTACTACTCCTTTGGTAGTTCTCAAATAGTATCAACAAGAAACATTAATAATCATTTTCTACACATTGTATTCAGTGTGTGTGTGTGTGTGTGTGTGTGTGTGTGTGTGTGTGTGTGTGTGATCCTGCAGCTTGGTTTATTTATATATCTATATTTTAGCCTTCCAGTGGCACAGCCAAAAGTATGCGGACTTACAACGCTTGAAACCGAGTTTCGATACCCGTGGTGTACACAACATAGATAGACAATTGTGTAACTTTTGGTTTAACTACAAATTGTATATTTCATGTGATAAGTTGGGGGACAAGCCGTATATTTCAGTTTTTAAAAGATCAAAAACAGAAGTGCATCCAATTAGTTTGTGTAGATCCATTAGAACCTAAGAACAGCAACCAAAAGAAATGTGTAGACTAGGATAAGAAAACAAATAATAATAATTAGCTATATGTTTATGTTGTCGTGATCTAAAACCCTAATTATAATATTTTTTTTTTCCAATTCCCCAAACAGCTTATCACAAACGTGAAATATTAAAAATGAAATATTGTGGAAAGTAATTCCAACCAAACCTAGTATCTACGTGATGTATCTCATTAGCATATATAATACGTGAAAGACAGTGAAGATATATATATATATACACCCTCACTTGCTATATTTATGTCCACGCTTTTCATAGTCTTCTACATTAGCTCGTGTAATGAATAAGAATCATCCAAACTACTTAAACTAGAAACAGATTTAAAACATTCATCTCTTCTTGCACACCAATATGTAATTCTTCCATTCGTTAATTAAAACAGCTTTTTAAATAATAATAATAA